GATACAAACTACTAATACACCTAAGTAAGTGATGTCGCTACAGTATATACAAGGTCAAGTCGATAACTATACACCTAAGTAAGTTGATGTCGCTACAATAGTACATACAAGGACGATAACTATACACCTACAGTAAGTGATGTCGCTACAGTATATACAAGTACGTTTACTATACACCTAAGTAAGTGATGTCGCTATAGTATATACAAGGACGATAAACTATACACCTAAGTAAGTGATGTCGCTATAGTATGTACAAGGACGATAACTATACACCTATAAGTAAGTGATGTCGCTACAGTATATACAAGGACGATAACTATACAGTATATACAAGGACGATAACTATAGGTAAGTAAGTGATGTTGCTACGGAATATACAAGGACGATAACTATACACCTAAGTAAGTTTGATGTCGCTACAGTATATACAAGGACGATAACTATACACCTAAGTAAGTGATGTCGCTACAGTATATACAAGGACGATAACAATACACCTAAGTTAAGTGATGTCGCTATAGTATATACAAGGACGATAACTATACACCTAGGTAAGTGATGTTTGCTACGTATATAACGAACATACAAGGACGATAACTATACACCTAAGTAAGTGATGTCGCTACAGTATATACAAGGACGATAACTATACACCTAAGTAAGTGATGTCGCTACAGTATATACAAGGTCGATAACAATACACCTAAGTAAGTTGATGTCGCTATAGTATATTACAAGGACGATAACTATACACCTAAGTAAGTGATGTCGCTACAGTATATACAAGGACGTTTACTATACACCTAAGTAAGTGATGTCGCTATAGTATATACAAGGACGATAACTATACACCTAAGTAAGTGATGTCGCTATAGTATGTACAAGGACGATAACTATACACCTATAAGTAAGTGATGTCGCTACAGTATATACAAGGACGATAACTATACACCTAGGTAAGTGATGTCGCTACAGTATATACAAGGACAATAACTATACACCTAGGTAAGTGATGTCGCTACAATATAAACAAGGACGATAACTATACACCTAAGTAAGTGATGTCGCTATAGTATAAACAAGTACGATAACTATACACCTAGGTAAGTGATGTTGCTATAGTATATACAAGGACGATAACTATACACCTAAGTAAGTGATGTCGTCTTCAGTATATACAAGGACGATAACTTATACACCTAAGTAAGTGATGTCAATACAGTATAAACAAGGACGATAACTATACGTACCTAAGTAAGCGATGTCGCTATAGTTTATACAAAGACGATAACTTTACACCTAAGTAAGTGATGACGCTACAGTATATACAAGGACGTTTTACTATACACCTAAGTAAAGTGATGTCGCTATAGTATATACAAGGACGATAACTATACACCTAAGTAAGCGATGACCTTACAGTATATACAAGGACGATTACTTTTACCTAAGTAAGTGATGACGCTACAGTATATACAAGGAAGATAATTATACACCTAAGTAAGTGATGTCGCTACAGTATAGACAAGGACGATAACTATACACCTAGGTAAGTGATGTCGCTACAGTATAAACAAGGACGATAACTATACACCTAAGTAAGTGATGTCGCTACAGTATATACAAGGACGATAACTATACACCTAGGTAAGTGATGTCGCTATAGTATATACAAGGACGATAACTATACACCTAAGTAAGTGATGTCGCTACAGTATATACAAGGACGATAACTATACACCTAAGTAAGTGATGACGCTATAGTATATACAAGGACGATAACTATACACCTAGGTAAGTGATGTCGCTACAGTATATACAAGGACGATAACTATACATCTTAGTAAATGATGTCGCTACAGTTTGTGAAAGTTGAACAATTAATGACACTGACGTCCGTCAATTAGCACGGTTCTGCTCTACTGAAACACTTTTTAAGTTTGTTTTTAAAGTTATAGAAAAACAGTTAGAAAGTTAGATTATGTCGGTTCAATTATGTTTTTAGGTTTTCCATCTATTTTTTTACTGTTTGTTACGTCACCCATGTTACTTTCCTTCTTCGCCATCAACAAAAGTATGACATCACTATTTTTTCATGTTAATATGAACATTGTAACAGCCTCATTCTGCTGTGGTATTTATTCATCTTTGTTACATACTAATCATTCCGTTTCTAATATTCTTTGACTAAAAGTGAAATTACATTACATAAATTTACTATGGAATTAAGAAAGTATAATTGTACTAGTTAGCTTTATACAGAAAAAACATGCAAATAATTACATATTTCCATCTTGCCAATTTTATCATTTTCTTAAAATATCATTTTATCTTTTTACTATTTCATGTACCAGGTAATACCGGCACTAGATAAACAAAATATGTCTACAGAAGAAGCAGGCAATCCGTACCCCCGTTATAACAACAATGAGGTCTAATAACAACATATAATAGTGTTTGCATTGAAACAACATCAGCAACAACAACAACAACATCAGCAGCGATACCACACGATGGAATGAATATAAAATCACAAGAATATACTTGTCTGGAGTGTTGTACTGGATTAGGTTATATCATCACGATATATCATAAGTTGAAGCTATATATTTACTTGTCTGTTTACTAAAATAATGTATTCACTGAATCAGATATTATTTGAAGTCACTGAAATTTGAGATACTTACGAGTCTTGTACAAAATGTTAGAAATAAATGACTTTGAAATAGACTCATCAAGGCGCGAAGTTGTTCACAAATTAAAAAACTATAGAGACAATTATAACAGGTTGTTAATCTGTTATTTCAGATGAAAATTTGTCTATTTAAAAGTTATCGCATTTCTGTATTATATAATATATCATGATTTTAATAATATTTTGTATAATGTTTGTTATAATATTTGTATGATATGATGTGCATTTGAGATACACTGTGTTTGTTGAAAGAGCATCGTCGGATACCCACGATTGATAAACATGTTACATAACATGCATGCAAGATGAGTACATTTTCTTAGTTCCATAGGATAGATTTGATATTCACAAAATATAAACATTTATATGGACTAAAAACAGTAGTATTTCTAGCAAAGAAATCAAATGCACGTAAAAAGCTGACATCAATTTTGCAAAGAGAGGCACCCGAGTTCTTTCTCCACCAGTAAAGATGGAGAGTCGCCATAATGACGTACACTGTTTTTGTGCGACGCCACCGCCCCACACCCACCCAAAAAAACGAAAATCAAATTAAATGAGACATGCTTTTAAATTTATCATTTCTTACAGGATGGAATGTCATTAACTGTATTTGATTTCTCATAGGAACATTATGTGTACAACAAGAAATTTAACAAACAAACCCATACTTTACTCTTAAATTTATGCAATGTTGGTATATTTTACTTTCGCACACCGTTGCTGCCGATACACACAAAAAAATGTTTGTTTCGTTTTTTAGCCATTCCGAGACTCATCACGTGACCGTTATTTATACACTTAACAAATCTTATAAGTGTGCATGCATAAATGGTCTCATAGGTGTATCAATATTTGCCCGATCATGCTGAAATTTTCAAAAAATACAGAAAAGAGACAGGCTATTATTTTTATTTGTTTTCTTTTTTCATTTAAGATAAGGTTTAAGATGCATTTCTAAAAAATGTGAGAGCGTGTCGAAAGTCGATGTTGCAAAATAATGTTCTTAAACCTTGTGTGCTACTCTGCCTTGGAGCGTCGTCGCATCAATGTAGCATACCGTTGGAGATAATTTTGTGGTCGGCGAGGAATGTTATAAACACTGCCAGTTACTCTGTTATGAAGATAAGCCTTCTTAAGGTAGTACACCCCTAATGGGCACTATAAGGAACTGTAAAATTGACAACATAGGACAGTTATATGCCTTAAATGTCACCTGTATGCAAAATTAAAAAAAAAATACCGTATGGTTTATGAGTTATGGACACATTTTTCTAAACTAAAACTTTGGCATTAGAAGGGCCTTTTTTTAGAAATGAGGAAACTTAATAATCTATAATATCACCATTATGAAAAATGTTTTCCTATTGCTCATTGTTAAGAAACAAATAATGACATTTAGGTAACAAATTAAACAAGCAAAATGATTGTTTTTAAACGAAATGTTTTTAATATGTATAAAAATGTAACCCTACCCCACCCACTTTTAACACTTATTTGACCATTTCCATGTGTAAAAAGCCTTTTTTAAAATATCCCTAAAATTTTCCACAATGAGGGGCTGTTTTCAAAGTTTGCCTAAATTTTCTTAAATGTATATTGGTTGGTCTTGCAAAATATAAAATACTTTTACCGTGTAGTTTTTATTTTATTAAACTTTGAAAATATCTGGTATCATATTTTCTATTAAATTTGGCATTATTTAGTAAATAAATACCTACAAAAATTATATAATTAAAATGAAACACTTTTTTCTTCCATTAGGGATCTGAGAGATTAATAAAAAATGTTAAAAAGAAAAAAAAGAAAGAAAAAAAAGTTGCCCCTTTGTGGGGTTTGAACCCACGCCCCTCAGTTTCAATACACTTTACAGTGATTCTAGCCTATTTAAATACTCTTCAAAGTGGAGATAGTGCATTAGGGGTGTACTACCTTAAGCCTTGGTATTACATTGCGGTGACCACCATGCGTTGCGCAACCTCCAAATGGTATAAACATGTAATAAGTAAAACAAATATGCAATTACGTTCGTCTTTGGAAGGAACTGAATTTAAATGATTTTCAGCTTTTACAGTGCAATGGAGTTTAAATAATTATATAAACAAATTATTTTTACCAGTCTGTGATTGGTGTACTCCAGCGTAGACCAATCCTAGGGCTATGCCACGCTGTTTAATTGATAATCTACCCATATGTTATGTTTTTCTGATATGTGGATCTCTGTTGTATTCGAGAATATCATGTGCAATTTTCTTTCACGCATTCACACAATTTTTTCGTGCATTGTGTGAATTTTGTACGTTCACGGTTGAACGCGCCGCATAATTAAATTTGACAAGTTTGAGCACGGGAAAAGTGTGGAAATGCAGCCAATAGTCAGAACCTAAAATTTTGTAAAGAAATTTTGATGAACAAAAACGTTATAAGGACATAAAAGGTGCACACTTATAAGATTTGTTTAGTGTAGACCGGACATTTAGATTTGCAAACTAAAGGGCGTTTAAACGCTTTTCCCACGACATTGGAGAAAATATATATTTCAACGAATTGCCAAGCCAAAGAACACATATCAATGTATCACTGATTCTGTTTAAAATGTCCCTTTCACGCGGGTAAAAAAAAGATCGGTTCGTGAAACTTTACTTTTTTTTTGTGACATTCGACCATACCTCAGTGGAGCATCTTTATTAAGGGTAGCATTTATTAAGTAGAGTGGTCTTTACTTGGGTTGTCTTTGACACGGTTTTCACTTTTTATACCGATTACTAGTAAATTATGCTGAACAATAAAAATACTTATTACATGTTATTACTTTATGGGACATAAAATGCTAATTACAAAAAAAAATTTAAATAGACAAAATTTACTAAAATTTTAATAAAAATATAAATATTTTGCGTGACTTATGCAGTGACGACCTTTTTTTTGCATATTGTGACTTTTATTTTGTTATTAACGTGAAAGTGTTGTTTGCATTATGTGAATAACTTTTCTTGTTCATTTTAAAATATTTAACCTTTAATTTACATTGCATTTTCAAAATTTGCATGAAAACTAACATGAGTCCGGAGGTATGCTGCTTTAACATATTTTTCTTTGACCTAATTTTCGCGAACAGAAATGTACTTAACTAGTGAAACTTGATTTAATATACTTGTCTAAAACCTTCATGTAACATTAACAACAAGTATTTTTTTCAACTAACTTATTGCCAATATTAGAACTACGGCCCTTTTGAACGGAACAAAGACTTTTCGGTATGTGTTTTTAAATTTCTTGTCAACAATCTTACTTATTTTCATTTTACTGCTCGTTTGTGTAAAGTCCTTTATCATAACCCCTCGGGCAAGAATACGAATGTCAGCCATTGTTAAACACTTTAGAGCTTTACGCTTTATTAACTATATATGTGCGAAAATTCAATAGCATAATTACTCAATTTCTTGGTAACTAATGTGATAATCTATATAGGGAATTCCAAAATAGTTATAAATCAGAGCGGGCGCTGTGGTGCAATGGTAACACTGTCTGACAACAAATCAAGGGGTTACGAGTTCGATCCCCCACTACTTCACTAAAATTACAAACACTCTTTCGTACTCTGACTCACATGACACTACTCACACACTGACATGACAAAAATAGGACACTACTCACACACTGACCTGACACACACAGGACACTACTCACAGACGGCCATGACGCACACAGGACACTACTCACAGACTGACCCGACAAACACAGGACACTACCCACAGACTGCCCTGACATACACAGGACACTACTCACACACCAACCTGACAAACACTGGACGCAGCTCACAGACTGACTTGACACACACACACACACACACAGGACACTACCCACAGACTGACCTGACACACACAGGACACTACTCACACATTAACAAACACTGGACACAACTCACAAGACTGACCTGACATACACAGGACACTACTCACAGACTGACCCGACATTTACACAGGACACTACTCACAGACTGACCTGACATACACAGGACACTACTCACAGACTGACCCGACACACACAAGACACTACTCACTGACATGACACGAACAGCACAATACTGTCACACTGACCTGACTTACATACTTACCTGAATTACAGGACACTATTCACTTACTGATCTGTTACACAACACACTACTGACACACACACACACACACACACACACACACACACACACACACACACACACAAGACACAACTCACGACTTAACTGACACACATAACACTACTCACCTGATTTTTATTATATTTACGAATACACGTCTCATATAATTCTGTTTAGAATGTCATATGTACTTATACCAGTATTATGCATTTTGAATATGTTGTATATATTGTTAAAAGCTTAGTATCTGACAGACATGCGGTCAAATGAAATAATTCAAAAGGAATTAATTTTTTCGTAGGCATTTGTTATTTAATGTAATTTCATATAAATTGCCGTATCTTATGTTCAAATTAATAATATAAACACTAATAACCTAAAATCGGTTACCGGGCGTCTATAGAGTGCTTAAATATAATGTGAAATGTATGTCGGTCAAAAGCTATACATAGCTTATGTTTTTGTGATATGTTTACATATAAATAAATTGATTTGATACTAATATACATGTAACTACAACTACATTGCATCTTCTTACTTCACCTCGAAGCGTGCTGGTCGCTGGCAAATGGATTCGGCAAAATATTTTAAGACTTGGATTGGCAAAAAAAAATATGCCAGCACTTGAACTTGAAGAGTCGTTTTCCATTCTTTTCCAAACTCTTACAACATTAAAATTTTAGGTTGCTAGGCCGCCAAGCCGCCAACTTCACAAAAAAGATGAAATAAAAAGTTTCTTCAAAGTGATTTTTTCTGTTTATATATCCTTTAAATGACAAGAATTGTCTTTTAAACTTCATTAATTGCCGTTTTATTGTTAAAAAAAACATTTCTAAAAGCTTCAAAAGTCCTCCAAAAATGATTTTTTTCCTTTTTATATACCTTTTAAATATCATAAAGACCCGTTTTTATCATATTTATAACATTTCTATACTGTTAAATTTCCGGCAGCGACCCGCGCTAGAGAAAAAAAAATTTAAATGTGATTTTGTTTCTTTTATATAACTGTTAAATGATAAGATATGTCTTTAAAAGTTAATTAAGAG